TCCTTATTATAAGTATAGTATGATATACCCCCAAACCCTATTCTAATCATCAAGGCCCCTTATACTAATCCGACTGGAATCCTAGCATGCCTTTGACCCACGGAAGAGAGGACGCACTATGGCCTCGGCTCCTTCGAACGAAAGTGCGAGGCACCGGAATCAGGCATAATACATGCTCGTTGAGGCTAGGGTTTAGAGTTTAGGGTTTAGGGATAAGGGTTTAGGGTTTAGGGTTTAGGGGTTAGGAATTAAGGTGTAGAGTTGAGAGTTCAGGGCTTCAAGGTTTGTGTCCGGAACATAAAACTCAAAGAGACAACACAGGTGCATTAGCAACAGTAGGTTGCGGTTTAGGGTTCAGGGTTCAGGGTTTCGGGTTTAGGTTTTAGGGAGGCATGATTCGTCGTTTGTTATTTTGTGTTCGTCTGTGTTTGGGTTATTTCGCTTTAGTTTAGGATATCAGCGCTTGGGCTCGTAGCTGTCCGGTTCAGAGGCATTGCGGTTGACGATGTGTAGAATTTATTAACTTGCTGAACATCCGTCGGATATTCTGTCTATACCTATGACTATCTTTAAATCAACAAATAATTGAACTTCATATTCACATGTATACGTATGTTTTTGTACACGTGCATACACAGTTGTATTTACACTTGAGCTGACTCTGTGTTTGTAGTCCCATATATGAGGCATAAAGCATGAACAAATCAGTGAACAAAAAGGAACACATGCTTAAATGCACCAGGACGGAACGACAGACAAACAAGAACATACGGATATAACTACTTGTTTGCTCATTCGTTTCGAACCCGCAAGCGTGCCCCGGATGAAGGGCTCATTTACGGGGTCGAAATGCTCAGGATCAGTCAGGCTTAATCGCAAGACAAAGCTGTGGAACCACGTCAGTATCCTAAAACCATGAAGCCTAAACCAAAAAAAACAAATAGCTACAGTCCCAAAGACCGAGCTCTCGTGAGCCTGGTCTTTGAGTGTACGGGGTAATGCTGGATGGTAGTACTTCATACTACGATATAGGCCGCTATAGCAGATCCTGGTATTAATAGCTCTTTAGTATGTCGCCGAACACTGCTGACCCTTACGAACCCACGCGATCCCGAAAAGCTTCCAAATCAGAAGCCCCTCCAGCAAACAAAACGTCCCAACACAAACCCATCCTTGTCAATTAGAGAACAATGGGAACAAGGAGCCCTAAGCATAAAAGGGATTCTTGTTGTAGTTTTAGATTTAGGGGCCTCAAAAGCTTTAGCTATAAACCTTCGCTCTCCCAACTGAATCCTTTAAACTTTAAACCCCCTTACCCTAAGGGCCCATGTACCTAATTAGTGTGTACTTTGGCCTTATAGTAGTCCCCAAATAGATACTCTGGGGCCAAAGTATACACTATTTGGGCACATGGACTGCTACCTGTGACCCCAAACCCTCCAAAATAGTAGGTTCTGACCCCTTAATCAGAGTGTAGAACCCTTAAAACGGTAGGTTTGGGGATCCCCAGGTAGGTTATATGCGAACCCTAAACCCTAAACCCTAAACCCTACCCTGCATTGAGGTCTGCGCCAGCGGCAGGCCGGTGGAGAAGCCGGTAGCGGCCGGCTGATCCACCCAAAGCACGTTGGCGTTGCCTGGTTCAAGGTTTTTCTTTAGGATTTAAGGTTAGGGTTTAGGGTTTAGGGTTTAGGGTTTAGGCTTTAGGG